CAAAAAAGTATCGGAGTAAATTGAAGTCCACAAACGTTGAAAAAAATTATTTTCTACAAATGTTGATGTTACAACGCTTGGTTAGAAAATAAAATGTGGGGGTTGCATGCTGCACTACATGTTGATTGGAGAAGGTGTGACCGATGTGTTCCTATCGTCAAATCACTGACACATCTTGTACAGCTTCATTGTTTTCGTATGACATGTCATACTTTTGCAGGTGAAAATTTCAATTGAAACACAAACGGTGCATTGTTTTGCATCCAAGAGCTTTGAAATAAATCACAAAGTGATATCACAAAAAAGCGAATGCTTACCGTTCCGTATCTCTAATTAAAATGTGAAGATATTACTTGTCCGAGGATACTGAACACCGTTTGCAAAAATATATACCCATTTGATACACCTATTACCATGACCATTCAGACAAAACTCGTCATTGTTCAAATTGTTGTTTGGCACATTTGAAGTTTGTATGTCGAGATTGTGAAAAGTTCAGTGGCCCCGGGTGGGATTCGAACCCACGCATAGACGCCGCCTACGCTTTGTACGCGCATGCTCGACCAGCTGAGCAGCTACGAGTCCACAGATATTTTCACATTCGAATTACTACCCAACCACTCGTACATCTTGATCCTCAAATGTTGCCGCGTTAACGAACTGTTAATAGTTACTGGGGTGCAATTTTGTTATTATCCTCGGCTTGTTTTTGTGTTCACCGAACACATGAACAGAGATCATTTGTGAATACAAAGCAATGTATCGTTGGTGCTACGCTTGAGATTTTTACTCACAAGAGTATCGCATGTTACACGGAAACAGTGAGGCTGTAAAAGATGTGCAAAATGGATTGACCATACGGGTACCCCGTTTAAGCCCACTTTATTCCACACGCGGTGCAAAATGCTACCGTCACACCTTATTTCCTAACCAGGCGTTGTAACATCAACATTTGTAGAAAATAATTTTTTTCAACGTTTGTGGACTTCAATTTACTCCGATACTTTTTTGATCTGGCTCACCTACAGTGGCGTGACTGAAGTTTGTGCGTCTAGGCTAAATGACTACGGGTCTTGGTTAAAGCATTTTGGGTTTTAGCTAAAGGACTACGGGTCGAGACTAAAGGACTGCGGGTTTTGGATAAAGCTTGATGGGAAAAGGTGTAGAACACCGAAATCGTCCAGTTCCATGGCAAATGATTTTCGCATTCCTGAGAGGATGAACTGTTCCGAAGTTATCAGCTGGAACCTACTCATTGTCCATACTAAATTTTTCGGATAATACATTACAGATATGACTGTCGTTTTTCAAGAACTAATGAGATGTAGAAGCCAAATGCGATCAACAGTGATTGCGTTTTAGTAAAGAAAACAAACAGGCACAACGCGGTGCAACGGAAGAAACGGTTTCGGGGAAATTGGGGAGCATGTGATAGTGTATATATTATTCTCGTATAGTCGTCAATTGGGTAATTAATTGCTAGTGAAGCTTTGGACGAAGAAATACCAGTCCGTGCACAGAAAGGACAGCCGGTAGGAAGAAGCATTTCAGGGTGCTGAACATTTATACCGGCGCAGAGTGGATGTTTTTGGAGACGCTCTGGGGTTAGATTGTACAATCAATACCTCTTGGATTTGGCTAGTAACAGTTTGGGAAACTATGGTGGCTAGTACAGCTTGAATGTATACGTGTGCATCAACAGATAGGATCCCCGCTTTCATACACCCCGCAATGTGATATCCCCATGGAGTGGAATTGGACGTGGAAAGTAGGTTAGACTGAGATGAACGAATGGGGCAAAGGCACGCCGTAAACATACATTTGATGTCGGCTTGTCTCATGACTGTGTACTACGTAGGTGAGCCATAAAGGAAACAAATCAATCTGCTCGATTGAATCGATGTAAGTAATCACGCGGTAGAAGCACGGACCTCAATATGGCTGACTGTGTGTGTGTGTATGTCTTTCCACAATAAATTCGTCTCCAATAATGGGATAAGCTTTAGTTGCTAGATTTTCCACAGTTTGACGTACAGAAAAAGAAGCAATGATACCAAGAGGGACGTTATAGATTGATGATGTTGTACGTAACAACTCAAAAAATTCCAAATCGCTCTCAAACAGACGGTTACCGGCTACTTCGTAATCACAATATGTCACCCTGCTGATGTCATCGTCCATGTCATGACTTCTGCATCGAGCGCGATAATTAATGATAATTAATAATAATATCTCTGTGAGTGGAAGCAGGCAAAACTGACAGTACGGTTAAAAAACAGTAATAATAACAACAATAATGATAATAATGGTCATTTTATGTTAGGCCCGGTTACTGTTAGATCTCAGGTTAGCTGACTCATTTAATCTGACACACATCAGTCTCCAGTATTCCAAACTGCCCTAGACTGGAATAAAATCACCACTAATAGAGATATCAAGCTGATATCAAAGATTAGATGTGAGAGGGAGCGGGAGATCTGTCCCGTCGAAAATGAGGTCATTCCACAATAAAGAAAGGCTTTCGACCTAAGTGGAACCGGTCAAGTTTATCCGATGATGTTTTTAGAGTGCGAGAAAACCGGGTTTTTCACGCAATCGGTATGAAAGATTGAGATAATGCGGTTGACAAAAACCAACTGACAGGTTCATCACAAAGGAGTTTGATCTGACAAAGAAAGAAATGCAAGAACAAGAAGTATATAATGCAATATAATATCAAACAATGAAGAGCGGAGTAAGACTACAGTTTATTATCCTCAACACATTTATATATCGTCTTCTGTTGAGCCGAGCTCACTTATGAATGCATAACAATGCACCGTTTGAGTTACATTTGAGGATTTTACTCACCGGAGTTTTGCATGTTATACGGAAACACTGAAGCTGTACGAGATGTGTCAAATGGTTTGACGATACGAGCACATCGTTTAAACCCTCCGCGATCAGTATGTGGTGCAGTATGCGAACCCCACTCGTTCTTATTTCTTAACCAAGTTTTTCAACTTCAACATTTGTAGAAAACAACTTTTTCAACATCCATTGACTTCAGAATATTCCGATACTTTTTTGATCTGACTCGCTTACTACGGCGTGACTGAAG